GAAATAATATCAGTAATTCTTGTCTCTTCCACAGAAACCATCCAGGTGGCCTTTTGACATTTCTCTAATAGGTTGGGCCATTGCTTTGTCATGGCCATTTGTGCTACAGTGGCTTATCTACCAGTACGTGCAGAGGAAACGGTATGCTTCTACAACTTTGCACTGCATTGTACGACCATTTTCATGGCCAGTTAAACAAACTGATTTTTATCCTGCTTTAACAGGCACAGGAACTGAGCCTTCTTACACTCGAACGCCCACAGACACAGATGAGTCCTCTAAGTCTCTGATTGGGTTGTTAACGGCTGTATGTCCCCCCCTGCCTAGACCCACAACCCAATAATTTGCTTTTGCACTAACGAAGAAGGCACCTACACTATAATAAGTGAGATGAAGAAATCTCTCAAATGTGTTGTACTCTGGGTGAGAAATGATTTATCAGAAACATGATTGTACACAGCCTGCTGCCACTGTATTAGAATTTTTTTTTTCTTGTAAGAAATTGCTTGTGTTGCGGGACATTTTCTGTTGGGGATATTGTCTGAGTTTATGGACCTACTCTAACTTCTCATTTACTTTCATAAAGAGATTTTGTTGCACATATAATGGGCCTGATACTTTCACTTTAGCTTGATGTGTTATCCAAAACTTTAATAGTTCACTTTCATTAGTTTCCCAGGCAATGCTGCTATAGTAAGATGTAACAACTGTAGTTTAGAAGGGAGGATTGAAAATAATATATTTGTGAAATTCTTGTTAATTCTGAAAATTAGTTAATATTTATTGATTTTACAGACAGAAGAAAGGCATTGCTGTTCAGATTCCAGCTGTTTGAGTGAGATTTAATTGAGTGCTAAATGTTGTCAGGGTTAGACGAGGCCCCTCTGCTACAGCACATCAGCTTTATGTCAAGGTGGGCCTTAGTCTCCAGTTTTCCAAATAGTGCCTCGACAGCTTAAGGTACATTCATACTCCAGTTTGACTTCATACATTAACTTACTGTAGCTAAACCGGTCCATCACTCAAACATTACCATGTCATGTTTTATGTTGTTTATACGAATATTGTAGAAAGATTTTGATTGTGTAATTTCGATTTGTTTGCAATGCTGCGATCCATACTACTTGTATACATTAGCTGTACAGTTCAGATGATCAAAATGCAATATTTTAATTGCATTTCATTAATATAGAATGATATTTACACAGGTTTGCTTCTTTAATAGCACCAATCTTTTGAGAGCATTATGTTTTAATAAAAAAAAGTAATAGTTTACCTTTCTACTGACATGTACTACTGTTTTCAGACCCCCTCTGCCTGTGGTTAGAGCGGTGTTTGCCTGTTATAATCTAAAACTGCAGTTTTCATAAATAATGTTAATTTGTCTAGAATGTTTCAAATAAATTGTTAACTGACATTATGGGAAATGTTTGATTATTAAGATGTAACACACACACACACACACACACACACACACACACACAGTGCTATACATAATCCCTATGAAACCACTACTTGTCATTTGGATGTAAAAACTAAGATGTTTGAACAGAGTCAGGCCAACTCTGTTCGGTCTTTGTGCTGAGCAACGGATTATCCCAAACTGCTGAACTATTCCTTTAATGCACAATTTTGACTTGCCTTCATGTTGTCATTGTGCTGTTTAAGTAGCTCAACTCAAAAAAGAAACAAAACATGTTAAAACCATTTTATTTGCATTTTCCTTTCTTACCATGAAGAAAATAAAATTTCGCATGCATTAAGGAGTCTAGTAAACTTGAAAACCTAGTAGTGTGGAAAGTGGACTGGGTATAATAACAAAAGTATGACAAAAGCAGCAAAACAGTTTTGTTAAGATCCAACAAAACATTTTTAACACGACTTACATATAAATTATTTACAAATATATTAGCAGGTTTTTATTTAGTAGTATTGTGCCCTCAAAGAGAAATATACTCTCAATGTGCTTGAGGGACTTTACCTCAGGGACCGTTCTTGAACTTAAGTTTCTAGGAATAACAAGTACCAGGGACTTTCTGGTGGAATCAGGGCTATCATACTTGCATATAATAATATGCTTGTAACTGCCTGAGCAGCCAACATATTGAGCTTTGACCAGTGATTGCACTTTTTTTTTAATTAATACAACCTTGAACCATGAGTTGGCCATAAACATTACTGTGCAATTATTTGAACAATGGGTCTGTTTTTTTGTATATGTTTAGAATTAAAGTGATTTATTAACACACACACACACACACAGCTGCTCTTATAAAAGTGAAGTAAAAATAAAGCAAAGGATCCCTGTTAATGTTCATAAGTCTATAAACTGAAGCCGGACACAACAAGGTGCTGAGCGTTGTTTCTTGCCTCAAAGTACGAAGTGTCCGTTTCATCCTCTGGCTGGGGTATGAAAGGCATTGGCTGGTTCTGTAGGTTGTCCCAGTCCAAGCCCTCAAACAGTGGATGGTGCTTGAGTTCTGGTGGATGTTAAGACAAAATTAATAGGACTCTATAAACATATTTCAATTTCATGGGCCCTACAATTAATTAGATCCACTCACAACTATTTAAATCATTGTCAATATTACTGCTTTAAGTATAAGAAATTAGGCTGCTAACTTCTAGTAAGATGGAGAGCAGAATTTAAATATATCTCTGTCTTCCAGCTAAAGAAAGTACTAAGAAAAATAAGGAACTAAGCTTAAGTTGTTACACTAGTTTTTTTCCCTCTAAGCTGAATTTCATTTTCATGGCAAATAATTCACAATATTTCTCTCTGAAAATAAATAAATGCATTTTCCAAAAATAAAAGCAATACCAATTCAGAGGTCTGAAACCAGGCTAGTTCTGTCTTGGACCTGTCACTGAACTGAATCAGGTGTGTTTGAATAATGAGATACACTGAGAAGTGGCTCTCACCCTTGAGACCAGCCCGCTTGGTCATGTCCATTGTCAGAAGTATTTCAATGGCTTTAGCTGAATTTTCAGACAGCTCCTCCTCTCCCTCAGGCCATGGGATATCTACAAAATTTTAAGGTTGAGGTGGTAAAAAAAAAAAAAAGAAGCAACAATAGCATGTTATTAAATTGTAATTAATAATTAATTTCTCCAACTAAAATTGAGTAGGTTGTAGTTGAGGTTTGAATGGCGACACTACTACAGAAAAACAAACCCACTTCTGTTGAGAATATTCTGAAAGACCAGCTGAGGCGTCTCATCATTGAAAGGCGGTACACCTGTGAGGAACTCGAAAAGACACACACCCAGCGCCCACCAATCCACCATGCAGTCTATTTGGAAGCAAAAGAAAAGTTAGATTTCAAAGCGCTGCTGGATTCAAAAACCAAAGTTCCTGTGCTTCCTGTTAGAGTGTGCACCAATTTTACTGCCGTGGCAAAAGCAGTTAGATCTGTTCTTATCAATCACACTGTCCAGCTGCTAATTCAAGAAAAATTCAATGTCTAACACACGAGCACTGATGTTTGTGAACACTGTAGTTCTAAAGAAGCAATTTATGCTTTTCAATTACTCCAGAGGATGCACAATTACAATCATTAAATTGATCCTTTATCAAGTTAAGAAAACTACTTGCAGATGAATGAATAGTGCCAACAGGATCATTCATGTCAGACAGATTGTCCATGAATTCAAATAGCAGTGATCATCATACAAAATGGCACTGTGCAACTGACAGGAAGATTGGTGTTAACATCTGAATGAACAATAGCATGATAAAATTAATTGCTAGGTTATTATTAGATGACATTCTGTATGCGAGTTACTAAATGTCAAAAATAAATCCAGCATCATAGTGCACGGACTGTGTGCCAGGATTTGCCCAAATGTACAGATTATAAGAGCAGAAAAGACCCTGTGTCCAGCATAAAAACATTTAACCTCAACAAATGCAACTTAACAATGATGTTATCTTAATGTTAGGAGACAATCCAGTTTTTTTATTATCCTTTGTAATCACACATTTAAAATGCTGCCCCTTCTCTTTGATCACACCACAGTTTATTCACCAAATCAAAGGGTAAAACCAGAAACACTGGGAACAGGGAAAACGAGCTCATATCCTCTAGCATATTAGCAAGCTGGGAGAACATGCAGGCTTGCTTGCAAAAATAGCAATATCATGATGAACTTACCACACTGGCCCCTTCCTGAAACTAAGAGAATGCTTGTCACAAGGACTACAATGTCAAGCATCCACTACACCACAATACTGTGTAATTCCATAAACCTGTGTTGGCTATTATTCAGACTAAAATGAATTTATTTCTGTAGTAATTAGTCTTTACAAATTCCCTCTCTTACCATGTGGTTTTCCCAGAAGCAGCTCTGGAGCCAAATAGTCAGGGGTTCCTACAACAGGGGCACCCTCAGCAGGCAGTGTGCCTCTCCGAACACTCTTTGGAGTCCTATAAGGGGTGCAGGAGATCGAAGTGGACTGAACCATCTGATGTGAGGAGGAAACAAATAGGTAATGTAAAACAATAGAAAAAATGTAAGGAACAGGCCAGATTAAACAACTGATAACCTTCTGTGAGTGACTAGATTTAATCAATCAACGATTAACTGTAGACATGAAAAAAATGGGATCAAAAACTTCATTACATGCAAACTGATGAAAATGCCTTTATAAAGAATCCTTGCTGAATCAACACCTTTCCAACACACACAAACAAAAAAGAAAACATTACAAGCTACATAATGGTATTATTTATTGTCACCCTTTTGTACTGGATTGCTACAGGCAAAATGCTACAACTAAACCAATGCAACATATTTTTCACCAGTGGTGTGACTATGTTTAAAAGAGTATAATTTTAACCACCTCCTTTGCATACCTACCTGAGGGAGAGAGCTGTTGGAGTTGAGTTTTCTCTGCACTGGTGTTATGGTGCCAGTCGCAGAGTGGTAAGAGGCTGATGTGGACGTATCCATGGCCTCCACAGACCCAACGCTATGTCGGGACACCCCGGACACATTGGAGCGGTTAATGGAGCTACAGTAGCTCCGGAAGGCTACGACATTTCGTGGCTTGAGGAGTGAGGGTGACTGAGCCACACCGCAGGGGAGATCAATGAGCTGGCTGACAAAGGAACCCT